AAAAAAGGCCTCCCCCCCCCCCCCTCCCAACAAGTCTGATGTTCAATTTCTTTTCAGGATGTTTTTTTCTTATTTTACTGGCATCTTGCAACAAAAGTAAAACCTGTAAATAACAAACACATACAATTCCATCTCCTAGGTTTCACTGCAAAATAATTGTCCCAAGCAGTGTGAAGGTCCCTACCTCAACGTGGTTTCTGTTTCTGAATTTACATTTGAAACCTGATCATTGATTGTAACTTGACTGCTGGTCAAATAACATGGTAAAGGATAAAGACAAATATGTGTCTTGTGAATAACACCAAAAAAACCCCACCCACCCTCCAAACCCCCCCCCCCAACACAAAAACAAATAAAAACCACAGGCAGTTTTATGACAACAATGAAGGCAATGATTGGAAAATTAAGATATTTTCCCAGAAGATGTCCCTCACAGGAAACCCTTTTAAGTTTACTTAAGATAAGATTTAGATGCTTCAACTGGGATATCTGCAACATCCATGTTGTACTGGCACACATCACACAAAAAGGGCCTGTGGGAGGTTCATACCATAGCACAGGATAACTGACAATGTCTACAGTACAAGAGACATTGTTCAGCCATCTGAATCCTACTTGTAATGTCAGGAAATCATATATCCCTTTATTCATTTGCAAACTGAATTGAAATGTATAAGGATGCTAACATCTTAACAAACAACTCCTCCCTATCTTCTGCAGATGAATCCGTAATTTGGAACCAAAACTAGTTTAACTCTATGACAAAGCACCCTCTAAAGAAATGACAGTTGAACATGACTTAAAGTTAAACTAGACTTTAAGGGGGAAGGAGACAATACCAGGCTTGCCGATAACAAGCTGTGGGATGACACGCCAAGATTAGAGGGACGGGGTGCCAGCAAGGGCCTTCAGCCTGTTGCTCTGAGACATGCTGGGTACACTGGAACACTCTGGAAGTTATAGAGATGAGCCAGGGGCTCCTGAGGTAACAGGACCCAACAGGGAAACACAGGTGAAATACCTCAAAGGCATTAAGGTGTGTTCCTCTAAGAAGGTGACATGGCCAACAGCCCAGCTGAAGTACCTCTACACCAATACACGCAGTGTGGGCAACAAACAGGAGGAGTTGGAAGCCACCATGCTGCTAGAAAGCTACAACCTAGATGCCATTACTGAAACTTGGTGGGATGAATTCCGTGTCTGGAGTGCGGTTATCAATGGCTACAGGCTGTTGAGAAGGGACAGGCGAGGAAGGAGGGGGCAGAGGGGTTGCCCTCTACATCAAGAAATGGATAGATTGTGAAGAGCTGTCTTTCAGCCTACAAGCAGGTTGAAAGCTTATGGGTAAGAATTAGAAACAGAGGCAACAAAGGGAACCTTGTGGTTGGTGTTTACTACAGGCCGCCTGATCAAGGGGAGCTACTGATGAAGCCTTCTTACTCCAGATACAGAAGGCATCATGCTCGCAGGCTCTTGTCCTGCTGGGGGACTTCAACCACCCCGACATTTGCTGGAAAAGTAGCATGGTGAGCTGCACGCAATCCAGGAGACTCCTGGAGTGCATTGAGGATAACTTCTTAAGCCAGATAAAAGACAGCCCTATCTGAGGAGATGTGATACTGGACCTGATGGTCACCAATGCAAGTGAGCTAATTGGTGATGCCATGATTAGAGGCAGCCTGGGCTGCAGTGATCATGCATTGGTGGTTTGCAGTCCTGAGGGATATGGATCAGGTGAAGAGTAGAGTAAAAACAGGATCCTGAATTTTAGGAAAGCAAACTTCCAGCTGTTCAAGGAATTAGTCAACAGGACCCCCTGGGAAACTGTCCTCAGGGACAAGGGAGCAGAACAGAGCTGGCAGATCTTTAAGGATGCTTTCCATAGAGCACAAGAGCTCTCAATCCCCAGGTGTAAGAAATCAGGAAAGGAAGGCAAGAGACTGGCATGGATGAGTTGAGACCTGCTGGTCAAACTAAAGGGCAAGAAGGAAATGCACAGGCAGTGGAAGCAGGGACAGGTGTCCTGGGAAGAGTATAGGGACATTGCCCAGCTGTGTAGGGACGGGGTCAGGAA